ATCACTCAAATCAAGCACACCATAAGATTTTCTCCATTTGAGCGCTTTATCCAACGCTTCCAACCCTTTATTAACGTCAACCTCTGATTTATAATTATGGAGAAATCGTCGGACAAACCAATCGTTTGATTTCACTTTTTCCACGTCTTTCTCGTAATATAATTCCGGATTCTTTTCCACTCTTTCCACAGCTTTTTGCCGCAACTCCTGAATCAGACTTTTGGATACTTTTTCCAAACTGTTTCCATACGAGTCAAGTATTGGAAATATTTTTTCACTCATTTTTATAATAACTTAAATTAAATATTAAATCAATTATAATTTATAAGCAATTTTGATACCTGTTATTACAAATATTTTTAATGCTATTAAATATTACATTCAACGCTACTGTTATATACACTGAAAACACTGTATATGACCATGAACACTGCTTTATAACAAGTATTACCTTATCAAATGAAAAATATGTTTGTCAGCACTAATTAATAAAGAATTAAAATTCAAATGTCATTATTTTTTTGTAATTATATGACAAAATATTTATAATCCTATTTTTTATTTAAATTAAAATTTTTATTTGAATTTAATTAATACGTTATTAAATTATGTAAAAACTTAAATGTTTTACTAAATAAAGGGCATTTAATATATTTATCGTTAATTTTTAATCAGTTATTATAAAGCATATTATATGTGATATAAAATTAAGTCAAAACTTATCTTATATAATAATTCATTTGTCTGCCACTACAATGAAACCCATTATAAATGCATTTACACCCTCTTCTCAATTATAGGAATAAAACAAATATTTCATTGAATTGTGAAATACTGTTCAAAGTGTTTACTCAATTTTTCAGCCTTTCCTTCTTTGAGACCTAATCTTTTAGACAACTCATGAGCTGACGGGGCGTCCACTGGAACCGTACGATACGACTGAGTGTTAGTCCCTTTGAGAAAGTGTGGCAACTGATCGATTGCGATAAAAGAGCCAATAGTTTTGGTGTTTGTTAAATGCAAATATTTTTTCTCGTCTTCGCTGAGCCACGACTGAACCAATTTGTGAATAGTTTCCAAAACTGATGGCAACTTATGGATCAATGTTGCCGTCAA